ATTGGACTGATTTGTTTCTTTTGAGGGAGAAATTTTCAAAGAATCAGTTGATCCAGTTAATAAAACAGTTGATATGTTTGCTAATCAAGCTGATTTGTTTCTTTTGAGTCGGATATTTTAAATATTTGATCCAGTTCACAAACCCAATCTGAAAAATGTGTTTACTAACTTTGGTTCTTTTCATTCAGATCTTTTCAGTTGATCCAGTTTACAAAACAGGTGTGAATGATACTGTATACTAATCGGACTCAAATCTGATCTGATTCAAATCAAATCTGATTCAAAATGATTGTGAATGAAAATGAAATGATTCAAATCTGATCTTTTGAATAAATCAATTGATCCAGTTCACAAAACCGATCTGAAGGATTCATGAATGAATGTGGTCCATATTTATTACACTTATGATGATTGTCAGTTCTTTTTGGAGCTTGAAAGCCAGTCTCCATTCATTCATTGTAATTGCTTGCAAAAGACTAATTAGTAGAATTCTAATTCAAGAAATAAAATTGGAAAAAAAGAGAAGAAATCTCAGATTTATAATGTGTTCTCAGACATTTGGACCCCAGTGTAGGTTGAAACAGAAACCCATATGATATGTCCATCCCAGGCAGGTTTTATCCTGTCTTCTGCTGGCTGGTGGCAGTCATGCATATTAACACTCTGGTCTGTGTAGGGGAATGATTTTACATCTTATGTCCATCGGCGCTCATCTTTGGGAATCCAATTTGCATTGAGATGCATGCTGGGAAGGAGAGAATGGGAAAGGGAGCGTGTGTATGCGTGCGTGTCTTATCTCCCGTCGCTGTGTGCGGCACCTGTTTCAGCATGCCAGACCTCTGTCTTTGGGTAATTTTCATGGTTTCTAGTTGCTTAATATTAAATGTCTTGTTCCATCCTCGCCTGATAATCCAAAGCGCCAGCAGCCAAATGTTCGTCACGGCTTCTTTAAATATAGACTTACAGATTGGCCTGGAGCTCATGGGATGGTTGTCTGAATTCCCAACAGAGTCTTCACTGGAGGGCCGCAACACTTTCATTAAAGAAGAGGTAACGTCTTCATCTTTAACCACAAGCCATGTATGAAAATGTCACTCATCAGACAGAACTCAAAACACTGAATCGCAGAACCAGACACCTGAATGTTTGAATGTATCTGAAGCAAACATCTGCTAGCAGATTGGAACTGTCGATCTGTGTTCCGAACAGAACCTCATCTTATCAGTAACTATGTTTCCATCCAAAGATGCGAATTTAACGTATGCGCAAAACTGGAATATCGCATAAATCATTTGTGAATACCTTTCCTCAGGCATTTCAGAACGACATACATAACATACATACATACATAAAACAACATAGGTGACCCTGGACCACAAAACCAAGTCTTAAGTCGCTGGGGTATATTTTTAGCAATAGCCAAAAAAACATTGTTTGGGTCAAAATTATCTATTTTTCTTTTATGCCAAAAATCATTAGGATATTAAATAAAGATCATGTTCCATGAAGATATTTTGTAAATTTCCTACCATAAATATATCAAA